TTATATACTTGTAGTCTTGTATATGAGAAAGGAGAACTGGAGAAGAGAGTTTGTTGTGGGCTCAAAAAGAAGAAAAGAAGGAAAGAAAGGAAGGAAGAATAAAGGAAAAAAAAAGGAAAAGGAGAGAAAGGAAAGGAAGGAAAGAAAGAGGGAAGGAGGGAAGAAGAAGGAAGAGGAGGAGAATGATTCGACACCCACCGGCGATGATGACAACGACAACAGTGCAGATGACAAATCTGAGATTTGAGATATGATCATATGAGTTCTCGGATCTCAGATCTGAGATCGATTTCTCTACAACTTTTTCTTCTTCTTCTTCTTCTTCTTCTTCTTCTTCTTCTTCGATTTCTCTACAACTTCTTCTTCTTCTTCTCTCTCTCTCTCTCTCTGGATATTAGATCTGAGTACGTGTCTCAGACTCCCCTCTCTACAATTTCTTAAACTACGAACCACTGTTCGGGTCAAACGAATCGACAATTCCACCACCAAGGTCAATGGTTTTCTGACAAAGTCAATGGTTTTTGACCCAAGAACAGGTCAGGGGTGAAACGAAACCGGTTGCTTGGAAGGTTTCTGGGTCGAACGGTCCAACCGTTTGGATCAATGAAGGTTCAAAAACATTGTGTGACACCGTTTTTCATAAAAAAAGGATTATAACATATAAGGGCAACTTTAGGGCCCTAATATCAATAAAAGTAATATTTTTAAAAAAATTTCAAAAATAGGTTAACTTTTTAAAAATAATATCAATTAAGGGCAAAAACATTGTTCATCTTCTTTCTTTTGCAATCTATTCACCAGTGCCGCTGTCCGCCGCCGCCTATCTCCGCCCACCTCCACCTCCACCTATCTCCACCCACCTCCACCTCTACCTCTGCCTTCGGCAACATTGTCGGAGGTGGGCGGAGGCAGAGGCGATGGCAGCGGTTATGATGGCCATTCCTCTACCCAATGTTGCCGCCTCCGCCCACTAGCACCATCGCTGCCTCTATCTCCACCCACCTTCGACAATGTTGCCGGAAGCGGAGGCAAAGGTGGGTGGAGGTGGTGGCGTTGGGTAGAGGAATGACCACCAGCGCCACTGCCACCACCTCTGCCTCCACCCACTTCCGGTAACGTTGCCGGAGGCATAGGAGGAGGCATTGCCGAAGCGGCGGCACCGGTGAATGGATTGCAAGAGAAACAAGATGAACAATATTTTTACCCTTAATTGATATTATTTTCAAAAAATTAAAATATTTTTTATTTTTTTTAATTATTTTTTTTATTAATATTAGGGCCAAAAGTTGCCCTTATCTGCTATAATCCCAAAAAATAATCATTTCAAACGCTTGGAAACATGGTTTTGACCGAATCAACAAGGCAAACCCGATTGCCTTAAGAACCGCACGGTCGGTTCAACTCTACGTCTAAAATTGCGTAAATATAAAAAACAATTGAGCTCATGCGCGCTTAAGTAATCCTTGAATCAGGACGAGGTGGTAACCCAAATCCACCGATGCGCTAGATCTTATCATCGCTCGTTAACTCTTTTGATAATGGTCCTGAAGAAGGACTTCCTTATTCTATATACTTCCGATGTGGGATGCGCCAATCCATCCTCACAACACGGTCAGGCAGTCAGCTCTCAACAAACAGAGTACGATAGTAAAGGTCTTCGGTTCAGAGAAATTGGGCGATTGTAAGTTCATTACCGGATAACAAGAAGCGCACTTGAGCTCACCTTCTGCAGTATTTTTATATTAAGCCATTGGGCAGTTGGAGTTTGAGTTTTATCGAAGATTCAAGACCTGTTGGCAGAATCCCACATCGGAAAATGTATAACTCCATAGAGGGTTTGTTCTACAGAAACTCACACACTGTAAGCGAGCAATGATAAGAATCAGCGTTTCGGTGGACATGGGTTTCCACCAGCTCCTGATGTTGGATGACAATAATCGCTCTTGAGCTCTCACCCATCGATAAGAAAATTTTAATAAACCAGAGGTCAGAATGTTTTCAACTGAGAAATGCCAGGTAAGATAAAATAGAAAAAAAATCGAATCTGAGCTCAAACGCGTTTCTTGTCATCTTCAGATCAGACGGAGGTGGGAACCCATTTCCACCCAAACGCAACTTTTATCATCGCTCATCATCCGTTGGTCTGGCATTAGTTAAAGAAGGAGTTTGTGAGGTAGCAATTTTTGGATGTGGGACAGTCTTCGAAACGGCGAACAGTAAGTCATGACGAACAGATGAACAATTGCTGCATTGCCAAGTTGTAGCCCATGTATAACTCTGAGTTAAGAGATTATTATCCAGTTTTAGTATGTTTCCTACTTAGTTCTTATTATGCAGATTCAGTTCATTAATAAATATGAAAACCATACCACCTCACCTCATATATTTCCTTCATTCAACTCGGGCATCTCCAAAATAACCCACTTTTGATAGTTGATACTCCTCGAGCCTTGAAGCTCCATGTTGTCATGGAGACGGCATTGGCTCCCCCAATCCCCATCAGAGCATGATGTTCCCAATGCACGGAGGGGATGGACTGTGGTCACGCTTTGAAGGGAGCCCACTCCAACTTGTTGTCAGGGGGTTGATCGATGGCACCAAAACTCATATGATAGATCCTACCCATGGTGCATTATGCCTACATCAATTCATGGGATTTTCAACAATCTGATTTTTATTTTTTTTTTATAATAATCAACAATCTGAATCTAAGTATTGATAATCTCAAAACACAAAAATGGCCCATCAAGAGTTTCATTCAATTGAAACTGTTTTTTTAGGATAAATCCCTTAAAATAAACGAAATGTCAATTGTACTGGTTTTCCGGAGAGAACGAAGGGGTATCGATGTTGGTCGAGGGCGGGGAAGTCTTTGGGCAAAGACGCCGATATCAATGGAGAAACATGGGAGAGAGGGGTCTGTGATGAAACAGGGGAGATAGGGAGAGAGAACGAAGGGGAAGCCACGGTACTCACCCATGCCAACAGCTGACGCTGATGCCCAAGAGCCGTCTCAGACCAACAACGCGGTTGCTGTCGGCAAGGGCACAGTTATCTCTTGTGATCTTCAGCGACCAGCTATTCAGCGCCCACCAGGACCAAAAGATCAATGTATGGAGAATTTGTAACGAGGAGACCCACCAAGGCAAGTACAGGTACGGGCGGTTGGCCACACTTCCCACCCTCAGTGACCACGTTATGCGATTCCTCCCATCTAAGAACCATGTTCAAGTGCGGTGGCACAAAATATGCACATGGGTTCATCACGTCGACACCATTTCAGCACTCGCTCTATCTAGGGATGGCTCACGGCTCTACTCCGTTTCATGGGATCGGACGTTGAAAATTTGGCAAACCTCCGACTTCGAGTGTTTAGAGTCGGTAGGGAGCGCGCACGACGACGCGATCAAGTCATTGGCCTTGTCCAATGATGGGTTCATCCACACTAGATCAGCCAACAAGAAAATTAAGGTGGGGAGTAAGTTACCAGCCGACAAGAAGCATTCGTTGGTGGCAACACTGGAGAAACATCAGTCTACCGTTAATGTATTAGCACTCAGTACTGACGGGTCTGTGTTGTATTCCGGTGCATGTGATCGATCAATCATAGTGTGGGAGAAAGAGAATGGCGGTGCCGCCGATGGTGGTGGTGGAGGTCAAATGGTGGTTGTGGGTGCGCTCAGGGGATATCTTCAATAACAGAACTCGGATCTCTTCCTCTGCAGCTGGAACACGCCGAAATAGCCCTTGTCTATGGGACAGGAGAAGGACTTTCTCTGGTGGAGTTTGGAGAAGAAGTAAGAAGAGGCTTCCAGTGGCGATCTAACCGGAGCAGTGGAAGTTTCTGGTGAAGATGAGATGAATTTGGCAGGGTGTAAGCACAGTCAAAATAAGGGCTGTCAGTCGAAAGGAAAGGGATGAGGGTAATATTGGGTTTTAAAATAATGGAGTGTCACGTGTGTACGGATTTTAACGATGCTAACAGCAGTGGTAGAACTAGTCAATTGTAAGAAAATTTAGGTATACTTCAAAACAATATGTAAACAGTAAGGGTCCAATAAATCAATTTTGTAAATAATAGGGATAGTTTAAGAGATTTACCCATTTTTTATTAGGATTTTTGTCAATAAATATAATACACTATTTATTAACATTTAAAACAAATGAATATCACAAAACTCCAAGCATTTATTTATTTATTTTATTTCTTTTGAAGAGCTACACAATGGAAGATAACCCATCCCTCGAAAATTAAAATGCAATGAAAATTTTCCAACAAAGTTAAAGTACAATCATACCAACACTAGTGCACCCGATCCCATTAGAACTCTAAAGTTAAGGGGCCATTCATTTGCTTTGAACTCTTAATATCTAAAAATGCAATAATTACATTAAAAAATATATTAGTATTGGTGAACTTTTCTTTTATTTGAAATCTAAATGCAGAGAATGTTGTTCCAAATTCTGATCCTGTATATGAAAATTTTTGTTTGTCTTTTTGGAGACATCATTGGAAAACAAAAAGTTGTATGATCACACTTTAAAAGATAAGAGATAAGAAAAAACAAACCATTTTTCTCTTAAAGTTTAATAGTTCCTCTTAAGAAATAAGAGTTAAAAAGAAACAAACAAGCCCTAAATGTACTTGGACGAGAGTAGTACTAGGTACATGATATTTTAAACCCTGACACTAAATAAGGAGTAGAAATTAGGGCCTTCAGGTTATTAACAGAAAAACACACCAATACATGCATATTTTAAAAGGTTTGACACTTCAACGTGATAGATCCTATCCTCACAATTCTTAAATAGAAGCATGGGCCATATCATAACACCCGATGCCCAAAGTTGGGTATCAACTATGGTTGCTTGTAATTGCTCAATAGCCAATACATCTTTCATTTTCTGTTTCATGTCCATCAGGAGTGAGATCCATCGTGCATGTATCCGGGTGTTGAAGAATGGGTCAGTACTTTAAAATAAGTAGTCCATAGATCACATGCTTTACAATCATCCAGTGATTTTTGAATGTTTGTCTACTTAGATCACAGCCTCCAGAATGTCATACAGTAACAGTTTTACAGAACTATATCTGCTAGGTAGATCATCTCCCTTGAAGATTCTCCAATGGAAACTATATAGAATTCCCATTTTGATCCAACAAGGAACCAACAGTTTGACAACACACGATGGCATAGCAGTGACACACTCGATGATTCCCATGGGAAAAGCACTAAAAAGGAACAAATTGTCCTATCTCACAGATTATTTAACATAATTAAGCATGTCTGAGCATGTAGAGAGACTCCTCCTAGGAAGGAGTATCTCCCATTTCCCCACTTCTTCCTCTTATGTCAATAAGAAGTCAGTTTTACATGTTAGAACTCCCATTCCCTACAAGACTTCTTAGAGGCATTGAGTAGAGAGACAGTTCTGAAACTACTATACTATATGCATTTTTTGTAAAGAAGCAGTAGCAACCCCAAAAAGCAGCTAAGGTTTATTTGCTTTCACAGGTGACTACCAACATCTTTTTTCTCCTTTTCCTAAACTTCCACTCCTACAGAGATGCTGAGTGAAACTTTAGGACAAGTTCAACAATAAGTCATGTTTCTTTGGTCAAGATGAGGCCCATTCGAAATATCGGCACAGGGGGCCCCTGGTGGCAGTCCAGTTCCCACATCCAAAAAAGAAGCTCCCATGCTTTGGCCCAGGCTTCCGGACCATGCGTTTGCTGCTCTTTACTCCACAGAAACAGTAAATTTGTCGCTCCTTCCCAGGGTCCACATGTGAGGGGTGGTACTGAACAAGGGGCACCAGCGGCTGTTTCAGCTTGAGTGGATGATGGTTAGCACCCAAGGGGCGGTCAGGGGACTGCTGCCATGTCAATGGGCGGTCAGGCGGCTGCCACATCAGAGACTTGGTTATGGAGAATCTGAAGCCCCAGCGCATGAGGTGGGCAAGAAGCCGGGCAGTGTTCCTGGCATCGTCAAGGCCACAGTGAGCACGACCCTCCCATGCAAGGCCGGCCAGTTGCACAGCCTCCTTTAGATTACATCGAACCGCACCAAATACCTCACGAAATGGAACCTTTAAGTTGATCCATCTAGTCACAGAAATCCCAAAGTGGTAAATCCATTTGAAATTCTTCTTTGCTGTTTAATAGGAAAACCATTTGAAAGCTCTCAATGACGAAGAGAGCAAGAAGCGTCAGGATCTTTTACCTGTTGAAGTAAGGTGGCTTCCGGATCCTCTTAAAATGGCACTCAGATTCCAACATCACCTGACAATCCCAGTCTGACCATGTCACCACAGCAAAGTTGGTGTGTTTAATCCCCTTATCTTCTAGCCATTTATCATGCATAAGTAAAGCTTCACTTAGAGGAACACCTCTATCCACCTGGAACAAAAAAGTACAGTTGAAATAGGCTTTAAAGGTACCTAGCTATGCCCACAAGAACAGAGCTGATTCCATATTATAGTGGAGGAAGGATAAAACATTGAGAACACAAATGATAAATTTATTGTACACAATAAACACCAGTGTCCAGAACAAAGAAAAATTCACCGCTAAAGGATGTTTTGAGAAGGACATTGATCTAGGGGATATATTAAGATCACATTTGCTAGCATTGTCATTTACTAATAAATAAAATTTTGGAAGAGACAGTCAAGTCTGCAGAGTGAGCTGATTGTTCTGAAATCTATTGAAATAGAAATTCAACCACAGTAACCAAGTCAACAAGGCAGCATGTCAGCAGAGCACCATGTTTCCTAGCTTAGGATCCCATCCAACATCCCTCCCATGATGCAGCAGAAAACATTTATCTGTTCGTCCAAATTCAAAATTGAAGTTCTATCTAATTAAAACAATCTGAATTCAATCCATTAATATTTTATAACAGAATCAATTATGGATATGATCTATCCTGTCTGATTTGATCAAATCTAACAATATCCGAACAGAATAAATGAAATACTCATCTAGTAGTAAAGTTGGCTTAAATGTTATATTTTTACTAAAAAATCATAGGTTCAAGTCTTATACAAGTTATCAAATCATTCTATTCATAATACAATATCAGTCATCTCTAGATTCTTTTATTAATAATATATAATATTCTGATCATTTTTTAGTTTAGTTCATAAACGCTATGCAATTCTTCTTTTGCTTATTGATAAAAAAATACATTTCTTATTTTTGCTTGTCTCCCTCCCACAAGACATTAAGGAGAATGGACGCTACTTCACCCTTATTCACCTTGCCTATGGGTGCAAAAATATTCATGCTACCAGAAAATTGTAGAAGTGTAACCTTAGATACCCTATTTACTTCTTGAAAGCATTTAATCAATGCAAAGTTTATATCTCACAGTTTTTGATGAAAAAAGGTAAAGTTTCTATCTTGAGCATGATTTTACTTAGAACTTCCACCGAGAAAAATCGCAAATGGGGTCAGTAGGTCATCTTGCCTCAAACCCATAGAACAATGGCTCACCTTGCCATTATTCCTCTTTCAAGCCTTATCTTCAAACTACAAGAAGTTAAACTAGGCCATACAAAACTAGGTTCTAAAGGGGACCCAGTTGCCCAATTGATGCCCCCCATAACTAAAACAAGGATTTGTTTTCATGCAAACTATAAAGACCATGTATCTATATCTATCTTCTAGAAACTAGAGGAGTGTGCTACAAGACTTGAGCTGAGCTACTGAAGCAACTAGTTTAATGAGGAAGAAGATAAAAGTACAAGTAGGTCTCACAGATGAAAATACAGTTGACAAGATTTGAATCATAACAGCAGACTTGAGGTTGTGTCTCCATGTTAAATGCGAACGATTTCAACTTTGACTGCTAAAATCATTCACATGTTTTGTCTATGGCTGGCTTGAACAAATTACACCAATTTGTTAGAAAAGAAAGCACTCCGGAATGAGTTGGAGTAAGTGTTGCTAACACCTCTTGGTTTTAACACTCGGGAATCGGGAAATCTTGCAAATGATAAACAGGAAATTAATCCTAATAAAATGAAAAATAAATAAATAAACAAATAAAAACCTGAAAAGGACAGGAAAGAGAACTTTTACATTAATCAATATCAAGTCTGCGAAATTGTCAGCTTCCATAAAGGGCCTGTTTGGAAACCATGTGGAACAAAATCATTTAGGTTCTTAAACATTTGAAAGCATAGATTAGTCACTTCTTGATTCATAGCAAGAGAGTAAAGAAGAAAAGAAGCAGAAAGAAAAAAAGTAGAATTGAAGTCGACTTACAAAAAAAAACTGGAATTCAAATTTTATTAACCATTTTCCTTAAGACTATTAGTTATAGACTATGTTTTCTTTTATCAGTAAAAAAGTTATAGACTATGTTTAGTATTGGTCTTAGTTCCAACAGTCTGGAATGAACTCCCCTTCTCATGATAAAACCTCAATTCATTTTACTGATAAAAAAAATCTATTTGGTATGGAAAAGCTGTGCATTCAAATTAGGCCATGTGTTTTGGTTTCAAATCAATCTGGATTGTTATAGTAATTTGACTAAATGGGGACCTGGATATCATCCAGACCTAATAACATATGCAGGTATGAAATCCATGCCCAACCTAATAATTAACTGGATCAAATGGCATAAAAAAAACTTTCAATAGGGTGGTAAGTTCATCATGCAGAATTTTCATTGTTAAAAGGAACAGAGAAGCCCTATATTTCTTTTATGAAAATGATCTAATTACAAGGTGGATTTTGGATCTAAGGTGAAGTTTCAGCAAGACCCTTATAAGTTGTTTGATAATTGCTGAAATGGCTAAAATAAATGACTAATTGCTTCGTCTTTTAGTCGATAAAATAATTAAACAATAAAATATTTAAAGGTGTCATAATCAATCAACTGCAGCTTCAGTCATTAAGGGACCTACAACCTCACTAATAACTTAATTCACCAAAAGACAAAGCAATATCTCATTCAGTTTAGCAATTCCAGATGTTACCAAACGGCCCTCTAGTGATAGGACTGTACATGGATTGGTTCAGTTCGGTTTTACTTATTTGTGCCAACCGAACTGACATTGTTGGGTTGATTATTGAGCCAACTGAAAATGACCGATAATGGCATAAAACCAATTTTGAATTTTTTTAATTCAAGTCGTTTTCATCAGTTAACTGAGCAAAAGTCAAGTTGGAACTTCACTCTCATTATTCTTAAAATAAAATAGCGGATTGAATAATTGATTGAAACCTGTGGTCAGTTGTCTAAGATATAGGTCTCAGTTTGGATCAGTTTCAATTCGATTTATGGGGATATAACTGGCAACCTCAGTTTGGATCAGTTTCAATTTGATTGGGTTTTAATATTTATCAAACTAAAACTGGCCAACTTCGTTTTAGAACCGACCACCTCAGATCAGATCAGTCCGGTTTGGTTGGTTTATTCCATTTTATGAACAGCTTTACTTAGTGATGCTTTGGTGCAAGAATCTTATGTGGTAAAAAATCATGAAAATTCATGTAGTTCCCCACTTTTGCTCAAAGCTAAACATTCGAGAGAGAGTTGTGCTGGTTTTTTTGATGGGACTTTATCATTCCTTTACTGCAAGACCAAAGACATTACTTAATAAGTAGGCTACATGATTACATACATCTTGTTTCTGCCTCTAGCTCTTGCAGGGAATATCAAAGAACTTAGAATTGGCATAGTTATCAACTCCAAGGAGTCCACTTCAATGGAGTTCAACCTTCATCCTTTGTTTATTATGCTTCTTTTTTTACCAGCATTGGTTTATTATGCTTCTTTATTTTAAATAGTAAAAACCACATATTTCTGTTTTTTGCTATCCCACTATAGCAGCTTGACGTACAAGATCTTAAACTACTACTTTACATGCTTTTGAATATCTTCTACATGCTCTTATACATATGAATATATTACAAATAATACTACGCCTTTTTGAAAAGGAAAAAGTAAATAGAAAAACAACAGCTCTGGATCTTGTAATCAATGATGCTATAGAATGAAGTCCACTGCCTTATACTGAAAAATACTACCAGAAATGCAATAATAGAAAATGGGAATCAAGGGTATACTGTTGCAAGGGTTTAACATTTTTTTTCTTTTGATAGATAACAGAATATTTCACGGGTTTAATATTCATGTGTAAATTGAATGAAATATGGGATCACAAATTGCAAAACATACCTGAATTTGCTGGATACCAGTAAGCTCCTTGCAGAAATTGCTCAAGTGTTGATGAAGTGTAGGTCGCACGTATGTTTGAAAGGAAGCTTCTAATTGTCCAGTCACACTATTCACTAGAACAGATGGGAACTCAATGATCTCTTGAGGATGGGGATTCTTTTCCTTGTCACAAGTGGCTTCAAAGTCTATGACCACAAAGTACTGAAATTCTTGGAATTGGAACTCATACGGATAACCATGAGAGTACATCTTGAAGGGTGCATATTGATATCTATTATCGACAGGAAATGGGTACTCATGATTCATGGAGTAGAAATGGTTCTCGAAGGCATTCCATTGGTTCTGCTGTGCCTTTTGGAAGTCAGGATGGAAGTTTGACCACATATAAAAGTCCTGTTGGTACATAGGTCTATGATAAACTTCACTTGGAGGTGCAAAGAACTCACTGCTTAATGAATTGTCTGGTTCCACCGAACCACCTCTAGGATGAACACTGGTCTCATCCTTGGGCTCAGGAAATCCTTCCACTGAGTTCCCATTCTCTTGTAAGTTGCAAGAGAATGCTTTATTCTGGAGGCATCTTATGGATGCCTCACGGTTTTTTTGCATTGCTTCTGCAAGGAAGATGGACCTCGTTAAGATAAACAGAATAGAAATATTATTGTTTGTTACATTTTCCATGTAAGATGAACAAAAAACAAATTATATGTTACTAAAACATTGTTAAAAAGTATATATTCTGATTTCCATGTGGCAAGTGCACACAAATGATATGCTTCACAAAATTAAGTGATGTACATTTTTGGAACAGTTTGGAGGTGGTTCAAAGCAAGGTTCAAAATATTGATACAGTACGATATGCCGGTAGGGGTGTATCAGACTGTATCGTGTGTCGCTCTAAGTTTTAATAATTTTCAGCTGGCTATGATTTGGAACCAGGTAATCAGCATATAGATCTCAACACACCACCTCCAGAAGAGTGCTTAAAAGTGAATTTTGATGGAAGCAGTCAAGGAAATCCAAGTTGGTCTGGCGTAGGTGGGGTGGTGAGGAACAAGGATGGGAATGTCTCTGAAATTTTCTCGGGACCAGTGGGGGAAGGAGATTCTGCTAGGGCAGAACTGCTTGCTGCATTACAAAGAATCCAGATTGCTCACCAGCTTAGCCTAGTAAATTTGATAATAGAAATAGACTCCAAGGTGTTGGTGGGATGGCTATAAAACCCGGATTCTGTTCCTTGGTACTACAGAGATGCAATTAAAACATTGAAATGGTATAGGAGGGACACGAATGTAAGAGTACACTGGGTCAGAAGATAAGCGAATTCTTTGGCTGATTGTCTTGTTAAACAAGGGACAAACAGGCATATTTTATATTGGGCTCAGCTGTAATTTGCTTTTAATCTGTTTCTTTTGCTCTAAATTTGGGGGAGATTGCAAGTCGCACCTCTCAAAGGGATGCTTGTACTGATTTAAGCTCTTGATTTCAATAAAGTATTAACCATTTATCAGAAAATAATGATATAGAGAAACCCATCTCAGTTGTGTCACTTGCAATTTATTCCTAAAGAAGTCATGAAAGCTCTGGATTCTTGGATGGGATTTTTACAGGCCTACCTAAATCAGATAGATAGACATGTCCGGTCTTTAATGGGAAAAACTGAAGCAGCAAATTCCTTGGGACAGAGGTCAAGTTGATGTTTGCAGATTCAAAAATCTTAGAAAATAAATTGGAGGTTCCGAATATAATGTCAGGCATCAGCAATCCTTTTATATAAACTGGGAAGAGAAAGACCAACCTCAGCAAGTTATCTTGTTGTTCAGGGCATTAACAACAAAGAGGAAGCACGAGTTTTTTTATGGTAAAAAACAAAAAGCACAAAATTATGAGGATATTCAGCTAGGTAGGTTCATAAGAGTCAAAACTGAAGAAGGATTCACTAGCTACTTGGATGTCAAGGGGATGATAGAGCCAAGGAATATTTTTATCTATACAGAATTGAGATGCTGAAAGGTTAAATTTGACATATGGCAAACCTACTGGCAGAAGAGGATTCCAAAACTCTAATTAGGTGGTTGCTGAATGATTGCTTATGACATTAATCATATAAACAAGCTGTAAGGGAACTACATTGCTGGCACAAGCGATGGGTGCAACCGTGCAAACTTTGCATTGGCACCAAGGTCAGCCAGTAGCATGGCTGATGAGCAAAGCAAGGAAGGAATCAACTGTCTTGGGGGACAACTCCCCAAGGGTGCTTGTAACAGAAAAGAAAAGGACATAAATAGGGGTGGATAGGCAGTTGTATGTTTTGAACAGCATTTTTTTCCTTCAACTAATAAAACTCTTTATGTTACTGATCAAAAAAATAATAAAAATAACATTTTCAACATGTAAGTAGGGAAAGCAAAATGATTTCCCTCTACCTTTAAGCAAAATCAAAACCCCACGGAAGTTAAACTAGAGCATCATCCTTAGATAAGCACAACCCACATGGGAAGCTTCGAATTTTTCCACTTCCCCTTACGATTTCCACTTTCCCCTTTTTTTAAGATAACCCCAACTGCTGACGCGGAACAAATTCACAACATCGGACAAGAAAAAGCAGTGATGACAACAGAAACACGAAATTAAACAGGAAAGAAGCATTGGAGTCCCAAACCTTTCAAAACCCATCTCGAATAAACAGTATAATCCCACAAAAAAGCAAGAACATTTGCAATTGTTCGACGGCATCTAGATCCCTAGATCAATGTGACAACCAATATGACAGTTCCGTACGATCATTAAAAAGTCCAAGAAGGCCAGAAACAGAAGAACACAGCAAAATACAAGGGGAAAAATCAACACAACCAAAGATCAACAGATTCCATGCTTCAAAAATCTTACCTTTATGTTCTGGAGAAACCATGGCAGTTATGATCCACCAGCAAGCACATCAGATCTTTCTCGAGGCTTTTCCACCTGAACCCATCAGCCCAGAAAGATAAAACATTAAAAAAAAACGAACAAAGAGAAACAGGTAACAGAGAGAAAGAGGGAAGAACAGAAGAAGGGAGGGAGAAAGAGAGAGGATTGGGGAAGGGAGGGAGAGTATTCCTACATTGCCGTGCTGAGGGGGAGAGAGAGAAGGAAAGATGGGTTTGGGTTGGTCATATCAACAGTCCCTTTATATTTTTTGCAGAACAACCCATTTCAAAGCGAAAATTGAGAGAGAGATATCGAAGAGTAGGCCCCACGCAACTGGCTATTATCTGTGAGCGGGTGGCCGTATCAGGTTGAAGACCGAAAGCGGTGAGGATGTGCCTCTGCCAACCGCTTCCCACGCCCAACTACGAGTCACCTGCTTGGTTACTCTCCCAAAGCACTAACCGTTTCCCACTTAACTCAGATAACCGTGCTATATTATCCAGCACGTATCCTCAATAAATTTGAGTTTTTTTAAAAAGGAAAATTGTCTAAACGTAACTCATCATGTCACTAATTTAACGTTAAACACATCAACAGGCATTACTATATTACCATTTTAACCTTTATAAAAAATATAAAATATATATAAAATAAATTAACAGATGTTAATATTTAGACATGAAAAAAGAAAAAAGTTCAAAAATATTTTTAAATATAAAATACATAAAAATACAGAAATTACAAAAAACATAAAAAATTATAAAAATTGCAAACAAAATAAAAAATTGTTTTCAAATTATAGAAATTAAAAAACAAAATCAGAAAATAAAAATTGTAGAAAAAACACCAAAAATTATAGAAAAACAGAAATTGTAAATAAATAACAAAAATACAGGAAAATTTATAGATTGTAGAAAATAAAAAAAATGTAAGAAAACAGAAATTATAAAAAATTGGAAATTATAACAAAACATTATAAATGCAAAAAAAAAAACAAGAAAATTGAAAACTGAAAAAGACCATTTTTCCTCTAACCCACCATTCAAGGGTAATTTAGTCATGAAAATTGTTATTTATGCTGACATGGACACCTCTGTTAAGAAGTATTAGCGGTATACTAATAGGTGAGTTTTGGAAAATGAAAACTTATTGACATGGTGAGTTTTAGACATTTTAAAAAGTTGTGAGTTTAAAAGAAATGTTGAAAACTCATGGTGAGTTTTAGACAATTTCTCTTTTAAAAATAATATTTTGATAACTGAACCGATGGTTAGACCAATAGAATGGTTTCTCAAATGGGGCAAGGTTGAACCAAGCCCTGCTGTTATGGTTGGATTGGTTGGACCATTTTTCTTTGAAAAACTAGATCCATAGAAAATGATAAAAAAAAAAAAAGGTTTCTTAATTGGATCAAGGGAGGAAGCTTCCCTACTTGAGCTATCTAGGCCTGAAGATTCCATAAAATTGATATTGTAAAGAAAGTGAGCTGGTTCTGAATGAGCTGGGCCTCATTGAAAAAATAAAAATAATAATAATAAGGTTGCTTCTCTTGATATGGTGATATGTATACAATGTAGCTAAGAAAAATCCTTCAACAAACTTCACGTTTGGTTTTTTGTGTACACTGGTTTGATTCAAGCATGAATAATTAGTGACTATTTTGGTGGTAAAAATAAAAATAAGAGGAATGCATTAATTTCTTGGTTATATGCATTAGTTTTAAGCTTTGTTGTTAATTGGGAAGCCCTCATGATTGGTTTGGTGGTGGGAAGGTTTCCTACAAGGTTAACTAAAGTTCTGGTATAATACCAATAAATAAATAAGGTTCTAGTATGGCCGGTTAACCAAAAAACTAAGGTTTTGGTATAAAAATATAACACCTTTTGTTATGAAAACAAAAAGAAACTAATTAATTCTGGTTTAATCAGGAGCAACAATAACTTTCTACCCTAGTTCTTGGTTGATTGTTGTTTTTTTTTCACTTTTTTTTTTATTAATTTGTTAGCTATGCTTTAGGAAATAATGGGTTTAAATCCTCTACATTAAAAATAAGCTTATGCATGCCTTATCGTGAAATCCCCTAAAACACAAATTAAAATGTGCAATGACAACAAAATCCTTCTAACTGAATGACAAAAGAGATCTTGTCCATTCAATGTCATCACGTTAAGAGGGTATTTGGAACGATGGTGTTGTATTTCAGTTTAGCATTCACATAAACACAATGTAGCCACTTTGACTTTCCCATAGGAAAATAATGTTTGGTTGGGCAGATTTGAATAAACACATTTTTGTATCTATAAAAAATTATCAAAATCTTTCGCTCTTTGCGATTTGCTTTCGGGCATAATCCAATATTTATTCAAATTCATCAAAAACCTTTCGCCCATCCAAAATCATCAATATCTTTCACTTCGACTTCGAACATAATTAAATATCCATTCAAATTCATCAAAATCTCTCTAGCATAATCTCTTACCTATTGAAAACCTTCGAAACCTATCACCTTGCGTAGCTTGCGCTCGTGCAAAATTTTGGAGTCAATCAAAAGCATTCACTTGGTATAATCAGAAAAGAAAATCCCATGTGAGATACCTTTGGACAAATAATTCAAAGATAAGGAAAAACTTTTAGTTCAATCATTCATAAAATCAATTGTAGAATTCAAAAATCTTTTGCCCTCGATGCATGACAGTATGTCCAAAAGCAAATAAAGCTTGATGAGTTGTGACCATACCACCTTATCCTCAAACCACCCTTATGAAATCTAGACCGTTATTGGGGGCATTAGACTGACTTCAACATCATACACTTTGCACCACATAGTTTTCATCACTCGAATTATTGAAATTTTAATGTGCAAGTAGCTCCTATCTAAAGGGATCTTATTACCTATCAGAATGATAACGTGTGCTAAAACAATCACAGGACCTTTGTCAAGTTTTCAGAATGGTTTCCTAAAATGATTTCAACATCAAACATCAAAAATCAAAATCCTTTCAAAAAATCAAAATCAAGTATTTTCAAAAATCAAAACCCGTAAAACCCCAAAACAAAAATCAAAATCCATCAAATATTTTTAAAATCAAAACCCATAGAAACCCAAAACAAAAATCAAAATCCATAAAGTATTTTCAAAAACCAAAACTCGTAAAGCCCAAAAACAAAAATCAAAATCCATAAAAAAAAAACAAAATTTAAAATCCATCAAAACACAAAACAAAAATCAAAATCCATCAAATATTTTCAAAAATTAAAAACTCAAGACAAAAATCAAAATCCATTTCCAAACTCAAATCATAAGACAAAACCCATCAAATATCCAATAACCAATTTCAAAAATCAAAACCCATAAAAATTTAAATCAAAAGTAAAAAATCATCAAATATGTAAATCAAATAACCAATTTCTAAAATCAGACCCTTAAAAATTTAAATCAAAAGCCAAAGTCCGTCAAATGTTTAATAAAATAACAAAAACTAGCACTAATTCAAATATTTAATCAAATTTCAAAATATATGAAAATTCAAATCAAAATTGGAAATCCATCAATATTTAAATCAAAATCAAGACCTGTAAAAAACTCAAATAAAAAAATCAAAATCCATATCAACTTAGTAAAATTTCATCAAATATTTGAATCAAATAACAAATTCAATCTTCAACATCAATTATCAAAAACATCAAAATTTATAAGCTTTCATCAAATATCACAACATAAAAAAGGTCAAACCCATACGAACTTAACCTGAAATCTCCTATCAAATAACAAATTCAAACTTCATAACTTCAATTATCAAAAACCTAAATCCATAAAAACTCAACAATCTTTCAAATAAAAAAACCTAAGTCCATAAAAACAATCTTTATAAGCATTTGAACTTCATAGCAACAGTCAACAATCTTTCAATCTTTATAATCGGAAAGCTTCTATCAAATAACAAATTTGAACTTCATAACAACAACTATCAAAAAACCTAAATCCATAAAAAAATCAACAATCTTTCAAATCAAAATTATCCATAAAAAAATCAACAATCTTTTGAATCAAAATTTATAAGAATTCATCAAATCATAAAATCGAACTTCAAAAAATCAAGCCCAACCTATAAGCATCCAATAAATAACAAGTCCATAAAAATAAAATAACTTAACAAGCTTCATCCCATACTAAAACATTTCAAATCCTCCAAATCATCAATCACCAGTACATAAATCAAAAATCAAACATCAACTAGTGCTATCTATTTTTTGGATGACACCACTATGTTTTTCTCGTGTTTGCTTGATAGTTGCAATTTCCTTCCAAAGCTTGGGATGGTACAGCACCTTCCAAGTAAAAGGTTTTGCACTACATCAACTTCAACCTTGACTAAAATTCCAACAGTGAAATCTCCACCTCCAAACTCTTAGCCCTCACAAAATCTTCGTGTGCTTTTTCTTTGTTGTTTGGTAGCTTGCTACCTCCAACAAAGAGGGGCAGCTATTAGCACCCAATTTTTGCTCAGTCCCTTGACTGAAATTTTTGCTCAAATCCAACATATCCATCACCCCCAAGATCACTAGGAAACAATCAACTAGCGAATCCCACTACGAATCTACGACAACCAACCACAAAAACATCAAGATCCCATTCCGATGGCCCTGAACGATTATATATCTTTCTCATATCAGAACCATCCACTTGACTCCTCCCCTCAACCCATGCCTACCCACCAAATTGTAGTTCAAAATTCACTTGTTTGATTTTCCATCAAGCTAAGATCCTATTTCAACAAATCTCATTAATTAGAGCTTACCATCCATCATCCCAACTTTATATGATCACTCAGACCTTACCACTATCTTCGAAGATCCAAAAAACCCCTCCACGTCAAACTTCACAACCAAACACCTCTGTTTAACCGTTGAAAAAGTAAGATTCCATTTTAAACCCTCTTGTTAATTGAAAAACCATAAGCTAAGACCATGATCTGAACTAAATAAATCAATCTACACCTTTGATCAAAGATCCATCACTTCCATTAGATTCAAGATGTTAAAAAGTGCCAACCCACCAGATTTTATCCCAAAATTCCTCAATTTGACCCTTCATCAAACAAAGATTCTATTTCAACAAATCTCATTGACCCAAACTTGTCATCCATAGATCTCAGTCATCCCGACCCCATTTGTCCGATCAGACCTCATCACTATGTTCAGGGACCCACAAAACCCTAGCACACCAAATTTCACATCCTAATT